ATGAATTGCGAATGGCAGTCGCAAACGAGTTAAGGAATCGCACTAGCTGTCATACGTTGGAATCTTACATTACCAAGACGCGGAAAAACGGCCACAGAAACAGTGGTTGGTTCATTCAAGCAAATCAATGAGATTAAACAATATGTACAAATGAATGTCATTGGTTAAACAGGTCCTCGTCACGCAGTTTCCGTTGGCACTATTGGCCTGTGGTTTATTGCACAGAAATTGTAATGCGTGGCACCGTGGCTGACGTTATTGAATGGGCTAGGATCACCTTAGTTACACGAGCCACAAAATAGAACTCCATGGCGCGTGCTATTTGCTGAGGCAGGCGATGGATGGAAATCGGTCAAATCTAGTCAAGCAAAGACCTGGTAGGAGGATATGATAATCTTGACCAACAGACTTGCTCACATAGGCCGTGTTAGGCTTTTTGGGTGGGAACATTAGGGTGAGCGTAATCAATGATTAGAGACAGTGAGTGATATGGCTGAGTGTCATAACTAGCGGTGCTCGTCTTTCTATTCAACGTCCTTGTAACCTTAGTCCTCAGGAGTTCGCCATTTCCTTTCGGGTACCGATGTGAACATTACAATCTTCCCTTGACTCCTTCATCTAAAAGAGCAGCCAAGATACAGCGACCAAAACTGGCAAAATCCCGGTCTAATCCTGTTCCGAGTTGGGGCCATTGCGATTTGGAGGGATTTGATAAATCGTTCTTACGTACATCAATTTGAGCCCAATAGATTTATTGTTACCGCTTCTGCAAGATTCAAGACAGATTTGTCTGAGAGCGTTCGGTCATCACAAAGATTTTCATCGCATTGGAATGCATTCAATTGGTGGGGAGTTAGCAATCCCGCAAACAGCGAAACCCACACCCGAGATTATCAACAGTGCTTAGTGCCTGCAAAACCCCGAATGGGCCAATTCAAACATTCACTGTCTAAATTGCACGCCGAGTGAGGAGATTTTAAGCCCCACGGTTACGTTGATATATTCAACAGCGGTCACGAAATCAATCGGCTCCTGTTCAGCTATAAGATCAGCCACATTGATGGGAGCGAAATTCAATCGATCGATAGGCTCTGTCAAATTTACGTGAACAACGGTAGCAGTAAACCTCACTGAGAAGTCCTGATGAAGTGTGATATATATCCTAACAGTGCCAGAGAGTGATAAACAAGTTCGTATTCAGTGATTCGCAATCATGTTAATGGATCGAAAAGCCGCGTGGTGCTGAAGAATGGTAAACGGTTCAGCTGCACTGCCGGTGTTTCTGGTGGACGGTGAGTGTGGTAACCAGTCAAGGAGTTGGATTTGGGTTGTAAAACACGTTCGAGATAAGAGCATCCCGCATAACCAGTTAGACACGGGAGAAATAATCTAGGAAAGAAAATAGCGGGGTTTTGAGGTCAAACTTGGCTCCATTAGTAGGTGGACACAAGAAAAATGAAAACTCTCGGTCATTGGCGCCGTGGAGATGTAATGGGGAGCGGCCTGTACATCGGGTAAATACAGACTCTGTTCGCCAATCTTCACATAGTGAGGCTGTCGAAGATGGTTTGGTCCGTCCTTCAACTCATATCTCAACCAAACTCTGTCTTACCATGTGTTCAGCTTAGCAGTGCTGTCAAGTAACCTCGGACTCTGAACTTCAAACACTTCACCGAATCTATACTTCACGCCACTGTCGACTAAATTGAATCTCCATCTACTCAGGTATCCCTTTCGTCAGTGGGTACCGGCTAACCGATAAAATTTACCAAACAAGTCTGTCTTTTCGCAGGAGATGGTCACATACAAATGACAATTTTATTTACTCAAGGTGTGATCTTCATCAACTATGATATGAAATGCAGGTGATTATGCGGTACAGTTTATGAGGAAAACTAGTCAAATTCGTCCCTGACATATAGAACAAAAATAGTTACGCGTAAGTAGACACATTTTTCTATCAGTATTCTTGCTAGTTGAAGTAATGGACATCGGAAAAACCCAAAACACTGCCATCCCCAAGAGGTGCCAGTCAGTAATCAACTTAGCCGAAAAATCAATATGGAAACTTTGTGAGTAATCAAGCTTTTTTATTAATTGAAGAAAAAACCTGTTCTCACTTACATTGGAATTTATTTGAGTACCGGTTATCGGTAACCGATAATTGTGTCCATCCATTAGAATTATGCGTTATGAGTTCATCGCGTCAAGTGAGTGAATGATATACTGTAGTTCACTTGGATTAAATGTACGGTAACTAAGAGACGTATCCAGTCGCAATTGGTCACATTGGACCACCATCAGAATTCGATCAAGATTCTGATCTCGTCTGTGCTCGATCGATTGAATGATCAACTGTTTTGTTATGAACAATCACGTGATACAATCTTACGGAGAGTATCACTGTGGTAGTGAAGTTTATACTGGTCCCTTACCCGGCCCCAAAACGGGCATCCTGTCTGTTCACCTTGTCAAGTCATCAGAACAAGGGTGGGATGAGGCGTGTGAAGGATTGAACTGGAATAGATTAGTTAGGAAAGATTATTTGTACAATCCAAAAGCATCGGACAGCTGTTTACATTTTGCTGGACTTTCATTAGAGAAATTTGAAATACTGTGCCCTTAACCCCGTCTATATTTAATACAGGAATACAAATGGCGAGTTTAAGACATTTTATTCGCTCAGCTGCGCGCAAGATGTACCATATCAAACAGGAGGGTAAACAGCTACGATGGGCGTAAAATTTAGTAAACAGCCTATGTGATTATAAACGAGTGGGTGGCCAATGCCAAGCCTTTGTGCAAATGCAGGTGACCTATGTGTTGTGGTTAGCGTCGGGTTACAAATTACGAATTGTGGTTATATAAAATGACTTTAAACGATCGGGTCAGGTTACCATAAGCAGATCGAGGTGTCCATGTTTACGGCCTGTTGCGTCCTCCAGGACAACAACCACTTCGGTATGAGCATTATCACTCGTCGGTCCGATGAGTTTTGCCTTTACAGAACTCCACGCAGTTGGAAGTCAACTTGTAGTGCGTGGGAAATTCAGAACAGTCATGAAAGCTCAAACCTTTAGTGATCTACACCACAAATAACTCGGCTACCATTTATGTAGGTCTCCAACCAAAAGATAAGTTATCATCTTGCAACAAGTGTCAACTTCATGTGCTCCTGGACTTCCTGAATCTGACCAGCAATACAATTTCATCCAAATAGCTGGGGATCGTGAACCCGAGTCCTCACAGATAGAACACAAGCACATCGACATAGGACCGAGAAGTTTAAATTTGGCTATATGCGGTGTAGCATAACCCAGCTTGGCAAGCTTTTTGTGAGTAAAGAAATTCACTCATAATTGCACTAGCCTCTGGGAGTTCAGTTTCAGTTTTTACAACCATTAACCATGCACTTCCGTGTGCCGGTTTTGGTTGCCCATCTGGATAAAAGAGCAAAATGTAGATTGGAATGTCGAAGGAAATTCAAGCGGAAGAAGGGGAATTCATATAGAGCGGTGTTAGAAGAATAACGAGTGGATGCTTGAGCGCCACTGTTTCACTCAGTGTAGCTAACCATCGGGTATGATCATCCCGAGGTCCCCAGCCAGGGAGCCTAACGGGGCCTATGTGACCTTGTCTCCTGGTTGGGGTTTTCATACCCTCATGCCAGGTCTTAGTTTGACCACCCTTTATCTTATTCCGATCGCTACCAGCCTTGGCAAACATCGTTCGCCGTGGCAACCTATCTGGCGACACACGTAACACATGTCCCAACCAACGTAATCTATGGAGGTCGATCACATGTTCCAGTGGACGACCGCGACTGCCTAAAACTCTACGCCTAACCTCAGCATTGCTAGTCCGGTTACCCCACTAGACACGTGCAATGCTACGTAGACAGCGGTGTTCGAACACCGACAATCTACTTTTATCCTGTTCCCTTGGTGGCCAAGTCTCTGCACCGTAGAGCAAGACTGGCCGAACTGCTGCAGCATACACTCGACCCTTCACAGACAGCCGGATGTCGCGTCGGCGCCACAAATGTCTCAAGTTGGCAAATGCCAATCGATCCTTTTGTATGTGCGCCGACACTTCATCTGTGATGCGTCCGCCGGGTGAGATACAGCTACCCAAATAGCAAAATTTATCTGCTTCCCCAGTTAGGGTGAGACTGGGTGCTGGATAACCCAATATTGTAGTAGCATTTTACACTTTGAAGGTGCAAAACGCATACCGAACATGGCTACATTGTAGTAGCATTTTACACTTTGAAGGTGCGAAACGCATACCGAACATGGCAACACTAGCACTCAAACTATCCAGAAAAGCTTGCAACTTACCTGGATCATCACTTAGTAGCACAATGTCGTGCCTCTGGGAGTAGCATTCGACAAAACAAAATTCCGAACCAGACACGTCTTGATTCACCAGTTACGTACCAAAGCATTTTCTGCTAAAGCTGCCGGGTCCGGGTCGCAGGAATTCGCCTCAAATTAGCATAATGTTTGTCCACTACGGACGTTGAACGGCAGGGGATCTATCAACTATCTGCCTGATTTCAACTTATATAGCAACCAATTTGTTCCAAATGCAGCTAGACTGGTGCACGTGATTTCAACTAGATGATTTGGAGACACAGTTTGATGATTCTCCACATGTCGACGCGGTAACTGAAATATCTGGTGCTGAGTTCAGAACTCTGGACTTCAAGCACAGATACCAACGCAATACAGTGAACACGAGCGGATGAATGCGGAGACCGGAAGCTACAACTCATAATGATGATGTAACAGTTTGAAGCAAAACAGCCTATTTGGAGAAGAAGCAACGAACATGAGCGTTCAGAGTCCGAGTGGCACACGGGATGCAGGCTTCGCGCACCAACTACCAATTAAAATCCGACAACAGTAACCATGACCACAGGAAATGAACAGAAACCAGGGAATCAAATAGATATTAGTGCTTTATTTTATTTACACAAATTTACACGACTGTATATATCAGATGACCAGGTATTGTTGCATCAAATGATGTGCCATCGCATGATTCCCGTGGGAACGATACAGTAGGGCCAGATTGAAAGCTGCTTCTGAACGTAGATCGGTGCACTATTTCAAAGTGGGGGTGGAGTGGAACAAAACAGAGTGCGTTAAAGCTGAGGGGGGGGAGGATTTTAGATAACAAGCGACTAAATCCGGGAGATACACTGAGCAAGGAGAAAACGGATTCATCTAGTAAAACAGCATCTGATAGTGAAAACGACAGATATTTTGGGATAAAAGGTACGCCATAACATAGCAACCAGACCCAATAAACTTCTACGTTACACATTACGCTAATTCAACGACGAGTGCTGAAGCCTATTTCATGCGGTACACGATTCATTGGATCCTTGGACCACTCACTTCATTAATGTATATATATATATATATATAAATATATATGTATGTATGTATGTATGTATAGATATATATTTAAATTAAGCCAGAAGAATACAGAGCATCCTAGATAAGCGACCAGTGCTGGTTAATGTCATCGGGTGGGGTTGATTTTAGCTTTCCAGCTAGCGCATTCTGAAAGACAGTTAGAAGACAAGCTGGTTTGGACAGCTTATCACAGTCTAATCGTCGTTGTGTAGTGCGTTTGGAACACGCACCAAAGCACATGGACAGCTTGGCGCAAACTAACGCCTGATCGGATTTGAGGGGAATGCTCCAGTCTGATCGTCTGAAGAACCCGAGAGAGGGGGTGGATTAAAGGGATGAAGATGCGGTGGGGGATGGCTGTCAAACTCGCTTCCGTCGTAATCCACATTATGTGTGTAGAATCCGAGATTTGAAACGCATCGACACTAACCAAATTTGATTGATAGCTTCATGGTCATTGAACTGAACTAGGTAACGAATAAATTGGGAAACTCGTCACACCGAGTCCGAATGCCTGGGTGTTCAGTTTGTGCCACGACAGTAGTTCATGGTTATGTGACCTAGTTCTTCTTATTTTCATCAGACCAAAAGTAATAATAATAATAATAATAATAAAGCACACTAGAATACGAATAAACAATTAGTAAAAATAAATAAATAGAATTAAAGGTTGTGCAGACGTGCAGATCGAACGAAAGACTGGACATATGCTAACCAGAACAAAGCACCGCTTTCATTCATATGGAACGGGACGAATTGTATACCACAGGCCAAAACTGAATGCCTTCTACTGGATCAATAGCACACATTGAACCATCCCTCCCATCCTCGTTAGAGGTGGTATTTTGGAAAGAAATCACCTGATTGATTGACTCTGACAAGAAATGGTGTAGAATAGCGCAAATGCATGGGCGTGGAAATCACTCACCGATCGTTCCGCTTCCGTATTCCCGACAGGTTCCATCAATAAAACTTTCTCATAATAGGCAATCGCCACATGATTGAGTTCTGAAAAGAGGAGAATAAAAGTCAGTAACACTTGGGACGATAAGGTCAGTGTATGTGTGTGGCGGAACGAGATAAAGTGATCAGCGATTGACTACCCAATCCGATTGGTTCAGTAGTATGTAGAAACATAACTACATCCCGGGGGGGGGGGGG